ATTTATAGCACTAAATGCCCACATCAGAAATCAGGGAAGATCTAAAATCAATACCCTAACATCACAGTTAAAAGAACAAGAGAAGCAAGAACAAAGAAATTCAAAAGTGAGCAGAAGACAAGAAATAACTAAGATCAGAGCAGAACTGAAGGAGATAGAGACATGAAAAACCCTTCAAAAAAAATCAATGAATTCAAGAGCCAGTTTTTTGAAAAGAATAAGAAAATAGATAGAACACTAGCCAGACTATTAAAGAAGAAAAGAGAGAAGAATCAAATAGATGCAATAAAAAATGATAAAGGGGATATCACCACTGATCCCACAGAAATACAAACTACCATCAGAGAATACTATAAACACCTCTATGCAAATAAACTAGAAAACCGAGAAGAAATGGATAAATTCGTGGACACATACACCATCCCAAGACTAAATCAGGAAGAAGTCGAATCTCTGAAGAGACAAATAACAAGTTCTGAAATTTAGGCAGTAATTAATAGCCTACCAACCAACCAAACAAACAAAAAAAGCCCAGAACCAGACGGATTCACAACCAAATTCTACCAGAGGTACCCAAGAGTTGCTGGTAACATTCCTTCTGAAACTATTCTAAACAATAGAAACATGGGGACTCCTCCCTAACACATTTTATGAGGCCAGCATCATCCTGATACCAAAACTCGGCAGAGACACAACAAAAAAAGATTTCAGGCCAATATCTCTGATGAACATCGATGTGAAAATCCTCAGTAAAATACTAGCAAACAAAAGCAGGCAGCACATAAAAAGCTTATCCACCACGATCAAGTCAGCTTCATCCCTGAGATGCAAGGCTGGTTCAACATATGCAAATCAATAAACATAATCCATCACATAAACAGAACCAATGACAAAAGCCACATGATTATCTCAATAGATGCAGAAAAGGCCTTTGATAAAATTCAACACCCCTTAATGCTAAAAGCACTCAATAAACTGGGTATTGATAAACATATCTCAAAACAATAAGAACCATCAGTAACAAACTCATAGCCAATATCATACTGAATAGGCAAAAGCTAGAAGTATTCCCTTTGACAACTGGTACAAGACAAAGATGCCCTCTCTCACCACTCCTATTTAACAACATATTGGAAGTTCTGGCCAGGGAAATCAGGCAAGAGAAAAAAATAAAGGGCATTCAAATAGGAATAGAGGAAGTCAACTTCTCTCTGTTTGCAGATGACATGATTGCATATTTAGAAAACCCTGACTCAGCCCAAAAACTCCTCAAGCTGATAAGCAACTTCAGCAAACTCTCAGGATACGAAATTAATTTGCAAAAATCACTAGCCTTCGTATACACCACTGATAGAGAGCCCAATCATGAGTGAACTCACATTCACAATTGCTACAAAGAAAATAAAATACCTAGGAATCAAACTTAAAAAGGATGTGAAGGACCTCTTCAAGGAGAACTACAAACCACTGCTCAAGGAAATAGGAGAGGACACAAACAAATGGAAAAACATTCCATGTTCATGGATAGGAAGAATCAATATCATGAAAATGGCAATACTGCCCAAATTAATTTATAGATTCAATACTATTCCCATTAAGCTACTATTGACTTTCTTCATAGAACTATAAAAAACTACATTAAATTTCACATGGAACCAAAAAAGAGTCTGTATAGCCAAGAAAATGCTAAGCAAAAAAGAACAAAGCTGAAGGCATCACGCTACCTGACTTCAAACTATACTACAAGGCTATAGTAACCAAAACAGCAAGGTACTGGTACAAAAACAGATATATAAACCAGTGGAACAGAACAGAGGCTTCAGAAATAACACAACACACCTACAATCATCTGATCTTTGACAACCCTGACAAAAACAAGCAATGGAAAAAGGATTCCCTATTTAATAAATGGTGCTGGGAAAAATGGCTAGGCATATGCAGAAAAGTGAAACTGGACCCCTAACTTAAGCCTTATACAAAAATTAACTCAAGATGGGTTAAAGACTTAAATGGAAGATCTAAAACCACAAAATCCCTAGAAGAAAACCTAGGCAATACCGTTCAGGACATAGGTATGGGCAAAGACTTCATGACTAAAACAACAAAACCAATGGCAACAAAAGCCAAAATTGACAAATGGGATCTAATTAAACTAAAGAGCTTCTGTGCGGCAAAGGAAACTATCATCAGAGTGAACAGGCAACCTACAGAATGGAAGAAAATTTTTTCAGTCTATCTTTCTGACAAAGGTCTAATATCCAGAATCTACAAGGAACTTGAACAAATTTACAAGAAAAAACAAACAACCTCATCAAAAAGTAGGCAAAGGATATGAACAGACACTACTCAAAAGAAAACATTTATGTGGCCAACAAGCATATGAAAAAAGCTCATCACCACTGGTCATAAGAGAAATATAAATTAAAACCACAATGAGATACTATCTCATAGCACTTAGAATGGCGATCACTAACAAGTCAGGAAACAACAGATGCTGGAGAGGATCTGGAGAAAGAGAAATGCTTTTACACTGTTGGTGGGAGTGTAAATTAGTTCAACCGTTGTGGAAGACAGTGTGGAGATTCCTCAAGGATCTAGAACCAGAAATACCATTTGACCCAGCAATTGCATTACTGGGTATACACCCAAAGGATTATAAATCATTCTACTATAAACACATGCACACATATGTTTATTGCAGCACTATTCACAATAGCAAAGAGTTGGAACCAACCCAAATGCCCATCAATGGTTGCCTGGATAAAGAAAATGTGGCACATATACACCACGGAATACTATAGAGCCATAAAAAGGAATGAGTTCATGTCCTTTGTGGGGACATGAATGAAGCTAGAAACCATCATTCTTAGCAAACTAACACAGGAACAGAAAACCAACTGTTTTCTGTTCTCAACATACTGGTGAGAACCAGTAGGTTCTCACTCATAAGTGGGAGTTGAACGATGGGAACCCATGGACACAGGAAGGGGAACGTCACACACCTGGGCCTGTCAGGGGTTGGGGACAAGGGAAGGGAGGGCATTAGGACAAATACCTAATGCATGAGGGGCTTAAAACCAAGAAGATGGGTTTTAAAACCACCATGGCACATATATACCTATATAACAAGCCTGCAAGTTTTACATATGTATCCCGGAACTTAAAGTATAATAATACATTTTAAAAATCAGACTATTGAGGAGGAAAAAAATGTGAGTTTCATGAGTGTCCACAGAAACGTGCAATCCCATCATCATAAGATTATGCCAGAGTGCAGGGCGTCATGAGCAAAGAGAGGCCAAGAGGTTTCTGGGAGTAAAGATTCTTCCCATGGAGGGTCTTTTCTGGACCTACCACTAGAGGTCAGGAAAAACTAACCTACATAGGCAGACAAGCCTTGAAGGCCAACATTGTAGATGAGTCTGTAATTTAGTAGTGGTTTAAAAATCATGTATTGAGGTGCTATGTAGGAAAATTTCTGACATTCTGAATAATTAAAATTGTGAACAGCAAAAGAAATGAATACTTTCATTTATCTTCACTTTATTAATAATATAAACATGGAAGAAATACAATTTATGTACTTAAGAATAAAGATCTGTTTAAAATTGGCACCAATAAAAAAATAAAAGCTTGAAAAGTGGGAAAAGGTCACACTAATTACACTCAGAAGCTGGGTTTCAATATATTGATTAAGCCAAAAATATATCGAAGGCAATTTAAAAATAGTGAGCAAGTTTTTCAGAATGAAATTTCTATCTACTTCTAAAGTCTTACTATTTAAAATTATATTCAATCATAATTTCTCCAAAAATCAGTGAATTATGGTTTTGGCTAAAGACAATATCTTACTTCTTTAAATCCTTCCCAAATCTTGCAATTATATCTGAAATTTAATCATGTATTTAATTACATTATAAATCCACTATCATAATTGCTTACCTATTATGTGTTATTATGCTAGATGCTGGGTTAATAGAAATAGAATTCAGACATGATTCTTCAGTATCAATTATCTCAGCATTTAATGGAAGTGAGAGTCACATACACAATAGACTATAGTAATATATAAATTGCAATTATTTTTCACAATAAATCTATAAAGTTTTATTCAACCAAAACAGGCTACTTTGAGTTAATATTGTCCCCATACTACTCTTTGAAAAATCAAAATATTTTATTCTCTTATCTCCCATAAATACAGTAGCAAAATGACCTTTAGTCCTGAGACATAAGACAGCTACTATTTGATGGACTATAAGATGTCAGGTGTGAATATTGTACTAGAATATTTGAGTGAAGTAATTGTAGAGAAATCCTCTGGGCAGGAAAAGAACAAGAGGGAAACAGTAAATGCCTAGAGAAAATGGAAGAAAGAAGATAAATCCTATGGGGAACAAAATAAAAATAAAGAGGAAATAAACTTCATATACACTACCCAGGTTTGCCTAAATCCATTTTTTGTTTTCAAGGAATATAATTTGAATCATCAGTCAACTGAAACTAATTTTTATTTCAGATGTTTTAAAATTATTGGTAAAAATTTTCTGGCTGGGCACAGTGGTTCATGAATGTAATCCCAGCACTTTGGGAGGCAGACGTGGTGGATCACTTGAGGTCAGGAGTTTGAGACCAGCCTGGCCAACATGGCGAAACCCCAGCACTACTAAAAATACAAAATTTAGCCAGGCATGGTGGCAAGTGCCTGTAGTCCCAGCTACTTGGGGAGCTGAGGCAGGAGAAAGGCTTGAAGCAGAGGAGGAGGTTACAGTGAGCAGAGATCACGCCACTGCACTGCAGCCTTGGTGACAGAATGACACCTGGTTTCAAAAAAAAAAGAAAAAAAGAAAAAGAAATCATGTTATATTCTTCCAAAATTTGTAGAAATTTAAAATTATTTGTTATTTCTAAATATCAACTTTTTATAAAATGCTTATTACTATATGTAGACAGTGACACTTAAAAATATTACTCATCCAAGTTAAAAACAATCTACTTACAATTCTCTGACATTTTTGAAGAGAAATATTCCAAAAGACTTAAAATACTTGCTTCCTTTAATTCTGGAGGGACTGATTTGTCCAAGCGTAAAATATTTTTTCGTGAACTTTTACATTGACAGAAACCAATTAGAGCAGTTTTTCGCAAATCAGAAGTGGCTGCATACAAGCAGATTTCTGCAAGAATTACTGTATATATGTAGACTACATTCCAGGCCCAGGAAAAATCATCTACCTTGTAACTTTCTCCCTGAAATAAAATAGATATCCGATCATCAAAGTATGTCTTTGCATATCAACAACTATATAGTGTACTTATAATAATTGTTAAAAGACCATAATAAACTAATATTTCTAAATGTGTTCATTAAAAAATGAGTTTACCATGAGTAGATTGCATAAAATACGGTTCAAAGAATAAAAAATATAGATAGCTAATAATTATATAAAGAGCAACTTCACAATTTAATTAGCAGTCAATAGAATGTAAATTAATTCAATGAGATACTATTTTCCATATCATATTCAAAAGAAACCTTTTGATGTACAGCTCAATTCTAATGTGTGACACTTTCATTTATTGTTCATAGGAATGCAAGAAAGTTATTAATATATCTTATGGAGAAAAGTTTGGACATCTTGCCCAAAAACTTTGAAAGAAACTTCACAGTCTTTCACTTGGTAATTTAATTTTATTAGCCTACTGTAAAGAAATAGAAGTGTTGATAGAAATTTTATGTATGAGAATAACAATTCAACATTACTTATAATTAACTGTGAACAAGTAGAAACAAATTTAATAACCAACAATACAGAAATGTTTCAATAAGTGATCTTACCCCAACCAAATTATAAATTTTAATATTAGGTAATGAAAATGAAAAATGTTTATGATAAATGGTAACTGTGAATTTGCTTTTATATTTAATTAAATTTATTATTATAAAGTTATGCATATTATATGCCCTAATACAATATACAATTTAAATAGTGGCAAAAATAAAATCTGTTTCTCTTCGGTTCTCTTTTCACATATAAATTGGCAATGTTACCTGATTTTGAACAGACATAATGCTTGAAACAAAATCTCTCACTATGTCCATTAAAGCTTTCAAGCAGGCCATGTTTAATTTGGCAGCCTCCCCAAGGACCAGTAAAGCCAGTACTGAATCCAACCTGAAAATTTTATGGACAAAAGGATAAAGACTGTAGTGGAAAATAATAATAATCAACTTTTTAATGTAAAAAAAGGTAATAGGTCAGAGGAAATGCATGTCTGGATTACAAGATATATTTATTTTCAATAAAGATTAGTATTGGTTCTCACTTATTATGGTAACAATCTTCAAAGAAGAGACACATTTTGGTAATATGTTTGAGTTCAGAGTAGTGCTCTGACAAATCTGAGTAATAAGTACTATATATAATCACATTTCTTCATAGATCCTGAACAACAGGCAATCAGGGGCTCTGGTTGTAGAGTACCCCCAAAAACTCACAATAGGTTTTAATGTTTAACCTCTTGCAACTGATTCCACAAGGTGAATTTCAAGAGTGTGTTTTCTTCTCAAAACAGAGCAATTTTTTAAAAACCGCCTTCTTCTAAGATACTCCAAAGATTCAACACTCTTTGATTTTGGAAAAAGTACAATTTCTCAAAATAAAATTTATATTTCACATGAATAGAAGACTAAGTATTATTTTTTAAATATTAAAAAAACTGGGAAATCACACAAGAATTTATTAGTTATAAATGTACATATATTTTGAATGTTTTGAAAATTATATATTTGTGATATTTTTACTTAAACAAAAAATAGTTTGAAAAAGAACTGATAAGAGCTCAAATTAAAAATTACTTTGGTCTATAGCTGTTTACTGTCTTGATTTGTAGGCCATTAATAAATTTAAAAGTTAGTATATTTTACAAGATTATTTGAATTTCACAACTGTGATATTTCAGGCCCATAAGTTCAAGGTCATCACCATTTTCTAAATCAAACCATTCTTATCATGAAAATCAAAGACAATTCTTTATATTAAATAGGGCTTTACAGATATCAATGTGCTTTCACATAAATTATTTCATTTGATTCGAAAAACAATTTTTGACACATTTAAGATTTCTCTAGACCATTTTTCATACTAGACAACTGAGACATAAATAGGTCCGAAGGACTTGTCCAAGTTCCCTTTTTAAACTAGATTAGTTGTAACTCAAGTTTTCTCCCACCAAGAAGTATTTTCTGTCTTGCAATTCTGCTTTTCTAAACCATTACATAAACGTCAATATTTAATCTTAGTGTGGCAGGTGCTGCCTATTGTCCTCCCTAATATTAGTTGTCTCCTTTTCTAATGGAACATGCATTTTGTTCAAAATGGCAATATGCTCAATTAAGTTAGCCCCCTCAAGATGGAATTCTCTGTATCTTGATTGGAGTAGTGATTACATGAGTGTATACATTTCCCCAGGGTCATAGACCTATGTACATAAATGTATGACGTTCATTGTATCTAATTTATATTTCAGTAAGTTTGATTTAAAATTGACTGCCTAGACTCCCTTGAAGCTTGGAATAGCCATACAGTGTAGATTTGGTTAATCAGCTAGAAAAGGAAGCATATTATGAAGACTTCCAGGCAAGCTATTATTTTTCTGGTTAAGAAAAAAAATTTTTAATTAAATAACAGGTGTTATTTTTCTCCTTTGCTCATCCTCTTCTTCCTGCTTGTAGTGCATATATTCCATGATATCATAAGGCACAGCAGCCTTCTTTCAACAAGGAGGATAAAAATCACCTGCTATAAAGACAGAAAAGGAAGCTAGAAGAAGCTTGGGTCTTGAAGATTTCCTTAAGTACTCACATCAGCACTGCACTACTTGTCATGTGCAATAAAGAAAGCTCTGTTTGGTTATGCAATTGTAGTCAGGTTTCTGCCAAATAAAGAAGACGAAATCCTAATTGATGCACTTAACATGATGCTTATGAACATGAACTTTAGAGTCAGAAACATCAAGATGAAATCTTAGCTCTGCCACTAATTAGGCATATGTTATAGGGCAACTTATGTATCCTACCTCGTCTTAATTTACTTGTCTATAAAGAAAATACAGTAAAACTCACTTTTTAGAGATTATTGTGAGATTTGAATGAAATACTCCATGTAAAACGTCAAGATTCAGAATGCTAAATTGAATTCAATTACAAACATATTATTTCTTTGACATAAAAAAGATATGAGTTTGATAACTTTCTCATTAAAGTCATAGAGTGACTGGAAGGAGAAGTCCATCCAGATGACCACCAAGAGGGAAACTAAGTCATTCCCCAGACTACTTATCATTTATACTTCATATTATGGTCAATTAAAAGAGAGGATACTCATAGAGTTCATAAAACTTCTTTTCCCTTGAATATACTTCAAAATCAGAAGGTTTTGATTCTTCTTTTCTCTTTTAAGTCTGGAAAATTGTAGCTAACCTAGGATTGAACTATGGATTGAAAAAGATCCATCAGTGTTAGCCACCTATGGTAGAGAAATGCTTCACCAGAAACACACTATTTTCAACTAATGCTGCTGATCACAAAATTGTCTGTGAATGAAAATGCTTTCATCAAAAACAAACATCAATACTTATAAAGTACAGTTTGTCAAAAACAAAAGTAAAATTGAAAATCAATGCACATAGAATGGAATTCAAATTGGATTAGGCTAGAAATTTCTATACAGCACTAGCTTCTTTGTGAATTCATTATAATACAGAAAGTCTCAAGTATCAGCATATTGACCTGGTTTTACATTGCCGTGAAATTAAAGTTGTACAAAATAATATGCAACTATTATAGATTTGCTCTAATTTTGTAAATAAAGAAACTGAGCCAGAGTTTTACTGGCTTGTCTAAAATAATGATATATACATACACACATGCACACATTTATAGAAGTTAGAAACATCAGCATTTAAAAGTTTTCCTAGATTCTTCTTACTCCTCTATATCCATTTCCTCAATTAGAAGATTTTAATGTTTAAATGGAATTAAAATATCTAAGTAGCAACCCTTGCCAACTTATTTCAACATTGTAACAGATATTCCAGAAAGCACTGACAATGTCAAAAATCCACATGATCCCGAAAACAGAATGAGACATCACTAATAATAGCAACTTACAAGGAATTTCCATAAACCATAAAGCTGATGAAGCCAAAGCAATAAGGAGCAACCACATGCCACTTCTTGAAACACAGCAACCTTGTTTTCCCAAAAAAAGTAAGAGAAAAAAAATTTTTTAAAAATAATAATCTCTACTGTTTACCCTGTTTTGCATAGAATCAGAGAAAGTGCAGCCAATCCTTTATCTTGAGATACTGATTTTTTTTTAAGCAGTGAGAGTATTATTCCTGGGTTCATTCTCATCTCTCCATATTTATTCAGAGATTATAACATCCTGGTAATGAAAAGGGTAGTATACAGTGCCTATATACATGTAGGATGGGAGAAGGCAGGAGGGAGGACGATAAAATTGGAATACAGAAGTGCATTTTTTTCCTCACAGGTAAACTATCAAAGAGTAAGGAGAACACAGGAAGCTCCCTGATCATTTTACACATTGAGTGTTGTAATTTTTACCAACTTTGTTATGAATGCTGTGAATACAGACCTCTTATTTAAAAATATTGTTTTTATATATTTCTCCTGGTTCTAGAATAAGTAACTGGAAAGTGAAGAAGAGGGACCTATACAAGACCGAGGAAAATAGATTACTGCAAAGGCTAAAGAGAATATTAGTCTCAGTACTCAGAGAGGGTCATAATTCTGAAAATGATTTCTTACAGGAACTAGAAGTTATTTTTACAAGACATGTAGGCATCTTTAATAAAGCCCAGGAATAATAAACCACAATAAAAAGCCTTGATGCTTAGATGAAAGGTAGTAGAGTTAAGATAACAGATTGCAAAGAATTTAAAATGTAAAAATATAATTAAAATCTATAGTTGAGGAAGTTAACTACAGAAATAACAGAGAAAAGTATTTCATAATTTAGAGGAAAATGTGGAAAGCATACCTATTACTATCTAAGTACAGAAGGAAGGAAGGAAGGAAGGAAGGAAGGAAGGAAGGAAGGAAGGGAGGGAGGGAGAGGGATGGAGGGAGGGAGGGAGAGAGAGAGAAGGGGAGGGAGGGAGGGACGGAGGAGGAGGGAGGTAGAAGGGTGAGTGAGTGAAGGGAGGGAAAAAATTGTTAAGTATGAAGTGAAATGGGCCCACTAGAAAAAAATATTTCTAATAACAAAAAGTCCAAAATTTAATGCAGTTATCCATGAGAAATATATGGGTTTTCCCACCATAATGTAAAAAATAAAATAAAAATAAATAAATAAAAAAACCCTAAGCATCAGATAGGCAGAAGTTGGGAACACATATGAACTATAAGTAGTCAATACAACACCTTGAAAAAATGTAGACCAGCAGCCATAGTATTTGTGCACAGCTTCTCAAAGTGAAGTTTCTCTCTAGGTAAAGCACAGGATTTGCCTCAATAGGCTCCTAACTTGGACAAGAAAGGGTGCCAGTTAACTCCTGCTTACTAAATCACAAAGAAGTTCCTAAAAAATTCTGGACTGAAAATTAAACAGATTAAAAAAAAGAGGACTGATGACTTTGAATATCTCATCATAACTGTGTTAGGAAACAGCATAGCAACATTTAGAGATTTGAAGGAGGAATCAAACAAAAAATAAACACTGTAATCATAGAAGTCTCTTACCAGACAAAATGTACATCATACCTTTTAGGGAAAAAATAAATGGTGATAAATGTTATAGCTAGTCAAGGTTTGTATATAATCATGGCCTTACCTAATATAATAAGCAATCAAAAAACATATTTAGAAATTTATTCAAGCTAAGAAAGAAATGAATAGTATTGAACAGTTTAAGAAAGGAAAATCCTAGTGTTAAATGGCTGCAGGTGAGTAGAAGAAAAATAGGTAAGTTTTAATAAAGAAAAATAATTTTATAAATATGACCAAATAATTAAATGCAGATATATAAATCATTCTTTAAGGAGCAGACAGAACATTAAAAATAATTAGTTAACTATAATGTTATCAGAACTCAAGATTATATTAACAGACTAGGAAGGGGAGAATTCGTGTAAATAAATTTGTCTTGGT